AGCAGCAGCAGCAGCAGCAGCAGCAGTGCAGCAGCAGCAGCGGCGGCGGCAGGCTGGCGGCAGCAGCAGCGGCAGGGTGGAGCCGCGGAGCTCCAGCGGGGTGGAGGCGGGCTACGGGATGCGCTGGGCAGCAGCTGCTGCGCTGCTGCTGCAGCTGCTGCTGCTGCTGCCGCTGCTGCTGCTGCAGCGGGAACGCAGGGAGCAGCTCACCCTTGGGGGCCCCCACGAGGACCAGAGTGTCCCCGGAGATAACCTCCTTGACTGTCGCGACGCCGCTGGCCATCTTTGCAGTGAAGGAACCCTGAAGGCCGCACAGCAGTGAAGACCGGAGCTGCGGCGCGGGGGAAAGCGCGGAAACTCGGAGCTCAGGAGGCCCCTGAAGGGATAATGGAAACGAAAATAGTAAATGCAAGTTGAGGACACAAGTTCGAGAAGAACTGCTGCGAAAATGGCGCACTGAAAGGCGAAACGGCCGCGCAGAAGGAAAGCTGCAAAGACCTGCCGATACACCTGAGACCCGCGAAACAACGGGAACTCGAGCTTACCCGGCAACCTCCGAGGGAATTAATTTATTTTCCGATTTGAATTAATTTATATTTAGCATTCAGTGGCGCAGAGACGAAAGAACAGAGCACGAGCCTCCATCTCAGCCTTTCGGCGTCGCAGCCCCAGCCACAGAAGGTCGCGAGGCGGCGGCTGCTGCAGCTCGCGAAACAATTCCCTTTTCTCCGCCACACAGTTTTAAAATAAATAAATTTATCTAAATAAATCTTTTTGGATGAATTGCGAGTCCCAAGTTGCTCAGAGCCGCAGCCCGCGCGTGAACTTGCAACTTCTGTGCATCTCTGCGGTGTCTGTAAACCCCACAAAGGCGGAAACCCCTAATCGGAAAGCGCTAATTTCATTGAATTATAATTTATTCTATCAATTTTGCTTCTAATTTAAGTTTTGGCACTAAATGTCCACAAACTTTGCAGAAGTAGCTGCGGCGCAGCTGAAGCGCCACGCAGGCGACTGCAGAATGCGAAAAATTCAACTTTTTGAATTGCCAACTCCGCCAATTTCAAACTAAAATTAAATAATTCTTTTTTTTATTCTTCTTTACCAGAATTGTTTAAGGACTATTCAAATGTTCTTCTGCATTCATTTCAAACTTCAGCTTTTGAACTCCTCTTGCAATTCTGGATCTGGGGGATTTTTCAAACTGCGCTTCAAGGGTCACTCTCGAATATCAAATGACTTATTTAAAATTCAAACATTCTATCTTTTTGCATTTTAAATACTTTTTGTCTTTTTAAAATTCAAAAACTAGTTACTTTTCAACTTGCGAGGGCACTAGAACCACCAAGTGGGGGAACTGTTGCTGGGTGGTGTGCAGCAGCAGCAACTCGCAGCAGCAGCAGCAGCAACTACTCTGCAGCAGCAAGTTATCCTTGTCTTTTTAATTTCTCGTTTAGACCCATGAGATCTGTCTTAGAATTTATCCGCTAACCAAATTCACTAAAACTCCTTCAACATTTTGCTGCAGCAAAACTCAAATTTGCTGCAAGCAACAAACAGAAGCAGTGCTGCAGCAAAAGGAGTCTTGATAAATTAAAAAGACTAAAAAGGTCTTTTAACAAATCTTTAAATATAAAAAGGAGCTCAAAAAGGAATACAATTAATAATAAAACTAAATAAATACAAGATAAATTAGATTTAGAGTCCAAATGTAGTTTATCACAACTAAATAAATGACTTCAAATGCTTTTGTGGAGTTGTGCATGCGCGCATGCAATCAGGTGTATGTACACCATGCATACAAGCTTCATAAAGCAAAGTGGAAGTGGATAAAAACAAAAATATAAATCTTTTATTTTCAACTCAAAGATCCAAATTTTGCATTGGCCTTCCAGTCAATTCCACTTTTTAATGTCTATCAAAACCCCAAGCGAATTAGGGTTTAGGGTTTAGGGTTTAGGGTTTTGGTCAATTCAGTTGCTTGTAAAGATTTAGCAAAAGAGAAGCAAATTGGTTTTCATTTGCACCTTATTTAATTCTTTAAAGCGATGTAAAAAGAAATAAATATTAAAATAAATGAAAACAAAACGAGTGAAAAGAGAGCCCGAGTTATTTGCCACCTTTTTGTTTCTTTCTATGTTTTTTCGAAAAAGTAAAAAACAAAAATGAATATTTCCTTTTTTCCCTTTTTTCTTTTTATTATTTTCTAAAAAATAAAAACCAAAAATAAATAATTTTAAATATTCAACAAAGCAGCGGCAGAAATAAACACCAAACAAAAAGCCATTAAGGCTTCAACTCCATTTTTAACTTTTATTGAATTCTTTTTTAAAACTTTTTTTCAGCTTTTTCTTTTTCTTTTTTCAATATTCAACTCCCTTCAAATGCTGCAGAATTGCTGCGCCTCTACTCTTTCCTACGGGCCTCTGGGGCCCCCTGGAGGCCCCTCGGGGGGCCCCCTGGGGGCCCCTCGGGGGGCCCCCTGGGGGCCCCCTGAGAGCCCAAGGAAGCTCCAGGGGCCTCACGGGGCCCCCAAGGGCCCTCTGGGACCCTCTAGGGCCCCCTAGGGCCCCCTGGGGCCCCCGGGGCCCCCGGGGCCCTTGAAAGACCATTAAGGGCTCCTATAAAGCAATAAGAGGAGAATAGGGTGCATTTGGGGTCTTGTGGTAAGTAATGTGAATTCTTGGGGCCCCCAGGGGCCCCTCAGAGGGCTTTATTAGAGCTTCTGCTGCTGCTTTGGGGGCCCCTGCAGATCTGTGGGGATAATAAAATCATTAAAAGGTCTTTTGAGGCTTTTTGAAGTCCATAAGGACTTCAAAAGGGCTTGGGATTGTTTTAAGACGCAGCCACCGTTAAGAATTGCCTTTCTAGGCTTTGGAGGAATAGAAGCTGAAATGGGCTGGTGAGCGGTCCCAGAAAGCATTTTGGAGGCTCTTTTGAGCAGCACTTGGGTTCAATTACGAACTTAAATTAATAAATTAATTAATTAAAGTTAATTGGATTTATTTTCGGGTTTATTTCATGTATTTGGAGGCCGTGTCCTTGATGGCCTGGCCAATGTTGCTGAAGGTTTCGGCCGTGCATTTGCAAAAGCGCGAAATCGAGGCCCCCAAACGCGGGCAAAAGCCCTGACTGTTTTCTTCTTCTGAGTTTCCGCTTTGGGCATTTGCGAGGCCCAGCAGCAGGAAGAAAAGCAGGAGGTAGAGCCGCGTGATCATGAACACGAACGGACTTGAATTGCAGCTCCAAAAACTTGAAAAACGGGGGAACCCGCGGGTCTGGGCTCGTTAAAAAGCCAGAATTGCCAAATATATTAATGGATTTTGCAAAGTTATGCACGAAGAGGAGCTTGAGGAAGTTTCAGGGGATTGGAAGCAAGAGGAAACGCCCCGGCGGTGACCTGCTTGCTGCGCGCCACCACCACCACGCCTTGAGTCCGCGACGCAGCTTTTTTAACGATTTAAAGTCTTAATTAAATTAAATAAACAAAATTTAATAATAGAATCGGATCGCGCGGATATCTGGCGAAGAAACGCGCGAATACATGTTTCGGCAATTTCAGAATTCAGGTGAGGGGCGCACCCGCAGTCAGTCACCACTGAATTGCGGCATTATTTTCCCGATCTACTATAAATAAATAACTTCTTTGCCTCGCATTTATGAATATACTTTTAACTCGGAAGATGCACTTTTGTTTCAGCTTCAGAAAGCCCCGCGATGGACTGCCCGAGGTTAAGCTAGGTGGGCAGCCGAAAGCGCAGCGGACCTCTGGTCTGCCATGCGCATGTACGGATTTCCTCGCGTCCTTAGGTGAAAAATGGAGTTAAATAAATGTTTTAAATTGATTTAATTTTAATTAATTCAATTAAACGCAAAATTTCGGGAAATTTCAAGCCCATTCGAGCCAACTTTGCACAAGGGCTGCGCAACCCAGAGGGAACACAGGTGGAGTATTTAAGCGCAGGAAGAACAATGCCAACTGTGCAGTTATAAATTATAATATTTTTTTAATTTTGATAAAGAAACCCCTAAATATATTCTCTATTTTGATAAAAATAAACACCAAATGGGGGCTTTCGACGAAGCCCTGCGAAACCCTCAACGAGGGTTCCACAAGAAGTCCATTGCAAAAAGTACTGCAGGCTTCCTCTTTGCATGTTTTGAGTCTTTTCATTATTCTAATTTTCTCTTTTTTGTTTTTAAAATTGTTTTGCATTTTAATACTATAGAAAAGCACTTTAATCGGCGTTGTTATGGCTTGAGGGTAAACCCTAAACCCTAAACCCTAATTTCTAGAACCTAAACCCTAGAGCCTCGATGCTAGAGGCTAAACCTCGAGATTCGCGTCTAATCGGAGGCTATGCGGTGACCTGTACCCTAATCTCTCAAAACCCCAAACCCTAAACCCTAAACCTTAAACCCTAGACTCAAGAACCTAAACCCTAAACCCTAAACCCTAGACTTTAGCACCTAAACCCTAAACACTAGACGATGGGTCTCGGGTAGCATGTACAAAACAAACCCTGAGTAACGGGGGGTTCCCCGCAAATCCCAAACCCTAAACCCTAAACCCTAGGGTTTTGTCTATTTAATAATTCAAAGATCTGCAAAAAGACAAAAAGTCAAATCAAGACGAAGAGGCCGGGATGGCCTGGACACTGCCTGCAACGAAGACAAAGCAGCCCAAAAGAAATAAAAAATAAAAAATTAAAAGACTTTTAAATCTAATTATATTTTTGAAAACAAAAAAGAAATTAAAAATTAAAAATAAAAACACTTCTAAATCTAATTATATTTTCGAAAACATGCAGCTTTTGCTGCGCAAAAGAAACAGACTAGAACACAAAGTCGGATTGCTGAACAAGTAAATAAATAAACAATAAATAAACAAACAAACAAATAAACAAATAAATAAATGAATAAATAAATAAATAAATAAATAAATGAACAAATAAATGAATAATGATGGGATATGCTGTCTGCAAATGCTGCGGTATTCCTCGTTTTGAAAATTGCACAATTGATTTAATTTAAATATTTTAAATATTTATTAAAATAAATATTAAAAACATCCAATTCATAATTATTTATTTAATATCTTACAAAAGGTATTAAACAAACGCATTTGGCTAAGAGCAGATGAGTGCAAAATGCCTTTTTGTCGAATTGACTCGAAAAAATGACTTTTGAATTCCGGATTTTTTCGAAAAGAAAAGAATAAAACATTCAAATTAAATTAAAAATGAATTGATGGTTTTAAATGGCATTTAATGCTGCATTTGTTTCGCTTCGACTCGCCATCTGGAAAGATGATCTTTTCGTCTTTCTGCGGCCCCACGACTTTGCGAATCCCGTTTGCAAAAATTATTTGCGCCGATCCGTCGGGAAAAAGGCACTCCAGCTGCCCATCTGAAAAGCTGCGAAGTCCAAACAAATAAAATAATTAAAATTCAATTAAATTCCAACAAAAAAGGAGAAAAAAGCAAAAAAAAACGGACAAAATCGACGCAAGTGGCGCGAAACAGCTTCGCGGGCTGCTGCTTGCTCGGGTGTACGTACACCTCAACACACTGCACAAGTGCAAAATGGAAATCTGAAAAGTTCAAAACATTTAAAGTTCATTTACCGGTTGAACTGACGCCCGTCTGGCAAGTTGTACTGCAGCGTGTTGCTTTCCCTGAATTGGTATATCTGCAGCAGCAAAAAAAGGCAGTAAACCCTAAATTAGGGTTTAGGCTTTATTCTTCTCCATCCACCTCCTGTACTTTCAAAAAGTCAAAATTAGGGTTTGGGGTTTAGGGTTTGTGGGGCCAGCGTCAACCGCGCTGCTCCTTCAGGCGGCTAGGGTTTTCAGTTTCAAGACCCTGGCGCCGAGGGTTTAGGGTTTAGCGACGAGGGTTTAGGGTTTAGCGACGAGGGTTTAGGGTTTAGGGTTTAGGGTTTGCACCTGGACTCCGCTGGGCTGAGTTATTCGAATGTCTCCATTTAAAAACAAAACGAAGCTGAGGCCGCTTTTGGCCTTGAGGCGCTCTAGGCCGTTGCTGTAGACTGTCCGCGTGTGTCCTGAAGCAGCAGCAGCAGCAGCAGCAGCAGCAGCAGCAGCAGCAGCAGGAAGCAGCTGGGGCTTAAAAGGAACTAAATGACTGTCAAAAATAAACGAACGAAATCAAATCAAATGCTGAAAGGGACAGAAGCAAGCGGCGCACGTCCAGCAGCAGCAGCAGCAGCAGCAGCAGCAGCAACTTGCCCGCGCTTGTGGTGATCTCTTGCCTGCCCTTCACTGTTTTCGTCTCCAGAGGCTCTTTGGAGTCATTTAAAATCTCCCTGAGGGTTTCCATTCCCAAAACAAAAGGAGAAGAAAAATCAAAAGACAACAAACTGCTGAAGTCCTCGCCTGAGACCCCACACACATGCAACCTCTCGCTGCTGCTGCTGAGCTGCTGCTGCTGTTGCTGCAGCAGCTGCTGCTGTTGCTGCAGCAGCTGCTGCTGTTGCTGCAGCGGTTGCTGGCGTTGCTGCAGCTGCTGCTGGTGTTGCTGCAGCAGCAGCAGCAGCAGCCGCTGCTGCTGCTGCCGAGGCTGCTCGCAGTGCTGCCGATGACGCTACGGATTCTGCTGCTGTTGCAGCAGGTTCTTACCGCTTTCTTGGCCGACAGATAATGGCTCTTTCCCTTGCTGTTGCTGTTGCTGCTGTTGTTGCTGCTGCTCTTGCTGTTGCTGCTGCTGCTGCTGCTGCTGTTGCTGCTGTTGCTGGGAAGCAGCAGCAGCAGGCGCAGCAGCATTTGCTGGGGCCGCAGCAGCGGGAGCAGCAGGAACAGCTCCAGTCGCCGTTGAAGCTGCTGCTGCTGCTGCTGTTGCTGCCGTTGCTGCTGCCGTTGCTGCTGCTTTTTGAGCAACTGGAAATGCAGCAAGTTGTATTTGGACTTCTGGGGGCAGCAGCGGCTCCGCCTCTAAGGGAATGCTGCTGCTGAGGTGTGTGCTGCTCTCTCGGGTTGATGTGCTGCTTTGAGAAGCATCGGGCTGCTGCAGCAGCAAGCAGCCTTGCTGCTGCTGCTGCTGCTGCTTGTGTGGTTTGGCTGCAGCGGCAGCTGCAGCCGCTGCCGCTGTCGCTGGGTCGCTGGCTGCCGCCAGAGACTGAGACAGCTGCAGCAGGAGCTGCTGCTGCTGCATCAGCTGCTGCTGCTGTTGCTGCAGCATCTGCTGCTGCTCATACAACAGCTGCTGCTGCGGATTATGCCGACCAAATGAGTCCGTGGGGGATATGAAAGCTGTGGCTGGCAGCAAAGTCGAGCTGCTGTGCAGCTGCTGCTGCAGCAGCTGCTGCTGCTGCTGCAGCTGCTGCTGCTGCCGCAGGCTCTCCGTCACCGAGGCGGCGAGACGCCCCAGCGCCGATGGAGGGTCAGCAGCAGCAGCAGCAGGAGCAGCAGCAGCAGCAGGAGCAGCAGCAGCGCCAAGACCCTGGTCTAAAAGGCTTGCTGCTGTGTCTTGCCAGTCAGGGTCCCCCAAGGCAGAAGGGGAAAGTAAGGGAGACAAATCTGTTTGCTGCTGCAGCTGCTGCTGCTGCTGCTGCTCCCAGCGAGGGATGCTGCAGCTGCTTCTGCTGCGGATGCTGCTGCTGCTGCACATGCTCAGGCGCCGACGGCAGGCCGAAGATCCTGGCTGCACCCGCTCCTGCTGCTGCTGCTGCTGCTGCTGCTGCTGCAGCTGCTGCCGACGGCTGGAGGCGGGCGTGCTGCGTCCAGAGGCAGACGCAGGCGGCGCAGGATATCTGCGTGCTGCAGCAGCAGCTGCTGCTGCTGCTGCTGCAGTTAAACGCAGCACAGGAAAAAGCAGCAGATTGGGAACAAGCGACCAAACCCTGATCCTGAACTCTGCTGTAGAACCCCAAACCCTGAACCCTAAACCCTAAACCCTAAGCGCCAAACCCTAAACCCTAAACCCTAAACCCTAGGCGCCAAACCCTAAACCCTGCGAACCTGCATCAGAAGGGTTTCTTGCTGCTACTGCCAGCCGCAGCTCAGCCTTAACCTCCTGCAGCTGCTGCTGCAGCTGCTGCTTCTCTGCTGCCCAGCGGCTGTGGGCTGACCGGTAGCGACTTCGTACGTTTTGAAGCTCCTCCTAGCAGCAGCAGCAGCAGCAGCAGCAGCAGCAGCAGCGGCAACAGGAGGGGTAACGCTAGGAAGCAGCAGCAGTAGTAGTAGAGGAGTGCAGCAGCCGCAGCAGCAAAACGAAGCCATCTGAAAAGAACGTCAATGGCAATGTGAGCAGCAGCAGCAGCAGCAATACAAACAGCAGCAGCAGCAATATCTGCAGCAGCAAAAGCATTGAGGAAAGCACACCTTTAAGTCCACAATTTGCTGCTGCAGCATATGCTGCTGCTGCTGCTGCTGATGCTGCTGAGCCAAACCTTCTCGCAGTCGCTCTCTTTCCGCTGCAGAAATCACACACTAAACCTAAACCCTAAACCCTAAACCCTAAAGGGCCGTCTGCTACGTGGCGTTTCTGCTGCAGCAGCTGCAAGAATGCGACAGCTAAACCCTAAACCCTAAACCCTAAATCCTAGGTCACCTGCTAGGCGGCGCTTCTGCTGCTGCAGCTGCTGCCTGCATGCATTTATTTCCTGCAGAGCTTGCTGGTGCTGCTCATTCATTGTTGAGTGCAGCCGGCCTGAGCAGCAAAGACAATCAAACCCTAAACCCTAAACCCTAAACCCTAAACCCTAAACCCTAAACCCTAAACCCTAAACCCTAAACACTGAACCATGCGCTTTGAGGTGAAGGGGAAAGAGCTCTGCCAGAACTAATGGTAAATCGCATCCTTAAGCCTTCAACCTTAAACCCTAGGCCCTAAACCCCAAACCCTAAACGCTAAACCCTAAACCCTAAATCCTGACTTCTTTCTGCCTCTAAATCAGCCCTTTGCTGCCGCAGCTCCGCTGAGATATTCCGCAGGCGATCTTCGCTCTCCCGCAGTCTGCAAATAAGCCGCAGCAGCCGAGGGTTTAGGGTTTGAAGAGCAGCAGCAGCAGCAGCAGCAGCAGCAGCAGCAGGTGTAACCTCCGCTGCAGAGAAACCCTTACAAGCAGCAGCTGCTAGGGGTTAGAGGTTTGGGGCCCCGAGGGCGAACCGTAAACCCGAAGGGTTCAGCGTTTAGGACTTGAAACTAGGGTTTAGGGTTTAGGGTTTAGGGTTTGGGGTTTATAGCAGCCCCACCTTGCCATCTGCAGCTTCAGGATTTCCATTCTTGATTTAAACAGCTCGCGTTCGCTTTCTTCTGCTGCAGCAGCAGACACCTGGAGGGCCCCGCTGCCGCTGCTGTCTGCTGCTGCTGCTGCTGCTGTACCTGCTGCTGCTGCTGTGTATTCGTCTGCAAAAGATATCAGCCGCGGCCGCTGCTGCGGCGACAGCAGCGGCGGCTCTTCGCCTGCATGCAGCAGCTGCCGCTGCTGCTGCTGCTGCTGCCGCTGCTGCCGCATGGCAAAAGAGGCAGCAAGCTCTGGGTTGTCTCGTGCATCCTCTGTTGCATCTTCTTCTTCAGTCTCTCCCAAGCTGCTGTGCTGCTGCTGCTGCTGCTGCTGCAGCAGCTGCTGCTGCTGGCGCTGCTGCTGCTCCCTTCGCCGCAGTGAGCCGTGAGGTGACATCCGTGACGGCTCATGCTCAGCAGCAGCAGCAGCAGCAGCACTTGCTGCTGCTGCTGCTGGGCTTTGCTGGCGAGAAGGCCTGGGCTGCCTCTTCTGCAGCAGCTGCTGCAGCTGCTTCTGCTGCTGCAGCTGCTGCAGCTGCTCTCCAAGCCAATCGTCGTCCTCCGCTTCGGCTTCTTCAGCGTCTTCGGGGTCCTCCTGCAGCAGCTGCTGCTGCTGCTGCCGCTGCAGCAGCAGCGGCAGCTGCTGCTGCTGCTGCTGCTGCTGCATGCGCTTTCCTTGAAGCGGTGCATAGCTTGCAGAGGAGTCATCTCCAAAAAGACGAGACTCCCAGCATTCTTGGCTCTCTACTTTGTCTGCTGTTGCTGCTGCTGCTGCTGCTGGACTTTCCTCATTTGCACCTTCAGAGGCTTGCAGACGCTGGCCCCGTTGCTGCTGCTGCTGCAGCTGCTGCTGCCGCCGACTTGTGGGTGTTGCTGGCCGCCCAGAAACCACTCCTGCGGCCACTTCACAGGCACCAGAGTCGAAGGTGCAGCAGCAGCAGCAGCAGCAGCACCAGCAGCAGCAGCAGCAGAAAACAGCAGCAGCACAAAGAGGGGCACCTGCGCACGCACCGGTAGCACCTGGAACGGAAGCAACAACGAGAGCAGCAGCAGCAGCAGCAGCAGCCACAGCAGCAGCAGCAGCAGCTGTGCAGACATCACTCAGCTCACCTTGAGTGTCGGGCGCCTCCGCAGGTGGTTCTGCTGCTGCTGCTGCTGCCGTCGCTGTTGCTGTTGCTGCTGCTGCTGCTGCAGGCTTTGCTGCTACGCCTCCCCGTTTGCCGCAGACAGAAGGGGCCCTCCATGCCTGCAGGTTTGTTCCTTTCCGAAGAAATGGGCGACTTTGCTGCTGCTGCTGCTGCTGCTGCTGCTGCTGCCGGACAGAGGGCGGGGTGCCTCGGCTGCTGCTGCCGCTGATTTCTGCTTCCTGCTGCAGCGCGCGCTGCAGCAAAGCTTCAAAGGGGGTGGGCTTATCCCCCGCAGCAGCAAGTGACACAGGAATCTCATCAAAAGGAGTGCTGCTGCTGCTGCTGCTGCTGCTCGGGTTCGTTGGACATGGCCTAGGGGGATTGTCTGCTGCTGCTGCTGCGTCAGGTGAGGTAGGAAGCACTGCAGCAACGTCTTCGTTGCTGCTGCTGCTGCTGCTGCTGCTGGTTCCAACAAGCCCTTTCCGCTCGTCTCTGCATGCAGCCTGGGGCTTGTCAGACCCCCTGTGCTGCTGCTGCTGCTGCCGTTGCTGCTGCTGCAGTTCCCGGTCACGCCGCAAAGGTGTATCTGTTGCTGCTGCTGCTGCTGCTGCTGCTGCTAGTCCCCTGCTGGGGGGACTTCGCACCTTTCTATAGGCCTCTCTGAGCTCTTCAATTTCACTGTCTGCAAAGTGCATCACATGCTGCTGCTGCTGCTGCTGTTGCTGCTGCTGCAGCAGCAGCAGCTCGGAGGAAGAGCTGAAGCGACGAGACACAAAGCGGGGGGGGCCCCCAGGGGGCCCCTCGAGGGCCTCTTCATACTCAAGAGCAGCAGCAGAAGTTACAGAGTGCGAAACACTTAAGGGTTGGGGCCCCCGCCGCTGCTGCTGCCTGCGGTCCTGGGGGCCCCCGCTGCTGCTGAGGCGAGGGGCCCCATGGCCCAGCGCACCAGCAGCAGCAGCAGCAGCAGCAGCAGTTGCTGCTGCTGCAGGGATTTCGTGCATTCCCAGGCCTGGATCTTTCTACTGTTGTGGCTGCTGCAAGGGCCCCCAAGTGTGTACTGACGGGGCCCTCTGCGCGGGGAGGGGGGCCCCCTGGGGTCCTCTGCAGGCGCTGGGGGCCCCCGCTGCTGCTGCTGCTGCTGCTGCTGCTGCACTGCTGCTGCTGCTGCGGCGGCGGCGTGCGATTAGGTGGGCTTGAAGGCCCGCGGAAGGGCAAGAAAGGGGGCAGAAGGAGAGGGGCGCATGCAGACCCGGGGGGCCCCCCAGAGAGAGGATCGCAGGGGAAAAAAGGGAATAAGGGGGCCCCCTGTGTTGCAAAATGGCACTAAGACAAAAAGCGATGCGAGGAAAGTGCTGGGGAAAGAGGCAAAGGGGCTTTTGGCGTAGTGCAGGGGTGGTGATGGCGGCGGTGGGTGGCGGTCAGTTCAGCTGCAGCCCTGAGATGGCGAGAAAACGAAGGAATACGCCTGGAAAGCTTTGTTAAAACTTACTTTCTTTGACTTTTTCGGATTATTTTAAACACAAAAAGGTCAATTAAACGCATTTTTCTCCTTTTCTGCCGCCAGACGCTGCAGTTCCGCCAGCAGCACCGCTGTTGAGCCTACTGGCTCGCCGCCGCGGCTCCAGCTGCACAGTTGGGTCCAAAAGAAAGTTATTTTGAACTCAATTTGAATTTAAATTTAAATTGATCGAAAAGTGCCTTCAAAATGGCTTCAAGCAGAGGCATCAAGCTCACCGAGCAGCACCTGCGGCTGATGTAGTGAGGCGCATAACTCCGCACACAAATCTCTGCAGTATGGTCTCTTTTTCTTTGAATTTCATTTGTTTATTCAATTAGAATCATTAAAACCTTTGAAATGATTTATCTGGGCCTTTCAGCGCTCTTCATTTCCCCAAGTTTCGCGTGTTCCTGTACAGTGTACACCACATTCATCTTCATGACACTTTCCGGTTTTCGAAAAAGTTGAGAATAATTTTCTCATTTTTTGTTTGTTTTCGAGGATTGAAATTCATGAATGCATTTATTTGAATTGCATTATTCCCTTTTTTAAAAATTATATGTGCAATCTGTTGGTTTCCGCGGATTGAATGAAATTCATGAATGCATTAATTTGAATTGTGTCATTTCTCCCTCGTGTCTAGGATTCCGAGATCATTCTCTGAATTTTTCTTCCTTCTGTCTGATATTACTTTCAACAGACTTCACTTTTATTTCATTTCTTTTAAACACTTTTTTCTTTTTGTCTTTTTAATTGTTGCAGCGACACTTTTTGCCTTCTGGACGAAGACAAGGATGGGCGGATAGACAAAGGCCAGGTGCGCGGAAAACTTGAATTTCAGCCATTTCGACATTTTTTGAACTCAATTTAATTCTCACTTTTAATATTTTATTAATTTAATTTAATTTTATGTTTTTAAATTCAAATTCGCGACTCTTTGAACGTTTTAATCCCCCGAGATCCATCTGTTCAAGTTTCGTCTTTCTCCCGTTGCAGTTCCACTCTTCGACGCCGAACAGATCCACGGAAGCAAACAGTGAATTCAATTTGAATAAATTAAAGAGTTTATTTTTTTAATTTATTTAAATTAATTTAATTATTTATTATTATTTGAATTAATCTGTTTCGCGCTGCCTTTCAGTTCTTCATTCTTTTCCGCGCTTTGGGCCAAACAGTTTCGGACGCAAACCTCTCGAAGATATTTGCTTGTGGGTCTTTTTGAAAATTAATTTCAATTTCAATTTTTAATGAAAACTTTTGAATGCATGTGGAGGCTTTGGAGGCTTTTGTGAGTTAATTTAATTCTGAAAGAACTTGTATTTAGTTCTTTCCTTTTCCTGCTGCAGCTGCTCTCGCAGAAGAAGCAAAAAACGCCGCCAGAGCCAAACAGGCCGCGCCCAAAGATGCTGCAGCAGCAGCGCCGAAGAAAGCAGCAGGAGCAGCAGCAGCAGCTGCTGCTGCTCCTCCTGGTGAGCAATTCCTGAATAAGAAGAGTTTGATTAATCGCGTTTCTCTCAAAGAACTTAAACCGAAAGTGCATGCATGAGTTTGCATGCATGCAGAGGGTGTGTTGCGTCCTCTGAAAGAACCAAAAAAGCCAAGTGCATGCCTTTGTTTGCATGCCTTTGTTTGCATGCCTTTGTTTGCACGCCTTTGTTTGCATGCCTTTGTTTGCATGCCTTTGTTTGCATGCACGCACGCCTAGGGTTTGTCCCTCCAAACAGCCCAAACGCCAAGTGCACGCACCTGCAGCTGCCTCTGCATGCACGTGCACGTGCATGCGCACGCGCACGTGCATGCACGTGCATGCACGCGCATGCACGTGCGCATGCATGCATGCAGACGCGGACGCGCATGCACAGGGGACGCTGGGCTTCGCGCAGTTCGCGAAGACCTTCGCGGAGCGCTTCGAGCCGCCGCTGGCAGCCGCGACTTTGCGCAGAGCCTTCGGCGTCTTCGACGCCGCGCGAAGCGGAAAGCTTTCGCAGACGCAGCTGCTGGAGATCCTCGCGAAGCGCGGCGAGCCGCTGCGCAAGGAGGAGCTCGACGAGCTGCTGCTGCTCGCCGCCCTCGGGCACTCCAAGGAGACCGACTACGCGCTCCTCGCCGACCGGTCTCTGCTGCGCTGCTGCTGCTGCTGCGCTGCTGCTGCGCTGCTGCTGCTGCTGCGCTGCTGCTGCTGCTGCGCTGCTGCTGCGCTGCTGCTGCTGCTGCGCTGCTGCTGCTGCATGGGGCTGCGGTGGACGTACACTCAGGCCGTCTGCATCTGGGAGCTCCACTGTTTGTTCCAGGTTTGATTCTTTTTGAACAATTGGCATTCTTTCTTGCACTTATTCTTGCTTTTTATCATTTTATTCCCTTTCTGGCGCTGCAGACTCGTAAAAGGCCCCGCGGGAATCGCGACGATCACCGACTAGCTCCGCCGCCTCTGAGGTGTACAGACACCTCAACGCGCCTCCGCCCGAACCACAAATGAAGTCCAAACACTTCTATATCGCGGCGCAATTCTAAAACAGAATTAAATGAAATTAAGTGAAATTAAATGACTAAAATGAAATTAAATGCAATAACATGAAACAAATAAAAGGGCAGCAAATAAAAAGAAAATGAAATCATGAGAAAGTTTAAAAGGGTCCCGCTATTTCGCATTCTGGGAACTTCTTTCTGTCTTATCGCACCCCGGCGAGATGCCAGAACTTAATTTCTTTTTATTTAATTTTTTTATTCATTTGTTTGATTTTAAATTAATTGTTTGATTGCTGCTAGCCAGAGCAGCAGAGAGTAGGCCCTAGACTGCCCCACACACTTTGCTGCGTTTTGGGTTTAGGGGTAGCAGCAGCAGCAAGTCCAGGCCCCAAGCAGCAGCAAACAGCGCAGCAGCAAGAAGCAGCATGCAGCAGCAAGCAGCAGCAAGCAGCAGCAGCTGGGGGCCTCTGTTGAGTGTCTTGGAAAAGCAGATAAGTTCTTTTTGCTTTTAAATAAAGCAAAAAGAATTAAAAGGATAATAATGCAAAAAGAATTAAAAAGATGATGCAAAAAGAATTAAAAGTATTTCCTTCTTTCACACTGAAGGGAGGGAACTGAGGCTAGCTAGGGGCGAAAGTCGTAATGGAATAGCAAAGCTGTTAAATTCGACGAAGAGCTGCTGCTGCTGCTGCTGCTGCTGCTGCTGCTGTTGGTGTGTCAGCCTACTCTGGATTCTTGCAGCAGCGAGAACGCAGCAGCGTCGTGTTTGAAGGGAGAAAATAGCGTGCAGTTTAGGGTTTAGGAATTAGGGTTTGGGACTGGAGGTTAAGGGTTTAAGCTGGTTTGAGGAAAATCGCGAGGCCAAAAAGTGCTTTGTGCCTGAATCGATTGGGGTGTACAGACACCTCGAGTGCATTCGCCTGTCTTTGGCGCTCGTCCAGCGGGAGGAAACGACTGAATGGCTCAAATTTGTTGAAATTAATTAATTAAAATGAATTATAAATGCGTTTAATTTGAATTTAAGGGCGAAAATGCGGAAAAGGGGGAAATTTGCCGAAGAGGAAGCCCCGGGGGGCGGGTGGGGTCGGTCAGCGAACCACCACTCGTGCAAAACGAGGAAAGCAGACGCAAAAGTCGAAGAATTTTATTTTTTGATAATAAAATAATTCAATCTAATGTTTTTGTTTTCCTGAGCGAAAAAGAACTCCAAAACATTCCGCTTTCCCCTCGCTTTCCCCGCTGCAGCCCCCGCCACACAGGAGAGTGCCCGCGGGATTCGTGGCCACTTCATTTTTTCCTGCATTTTCCTCCTTTTTGCATTTTTTTCTTTTTTGAATAATTTATTTTAAAATGAATACTTTGCAAGTTCTTCCTTTTTCGGAAGAGACGCGGGCGCTGTACGAGGGCCACGGGACCTTCCACGACGGCGACAGCGGGCTGGACTTGTTCATAATTCAAGAAACCACCATTTTGCCGGGGGAAACAAAGTTCCTAAAGTTGGGATTTTCAGCTTCCATGAGAAATAAAGAAGGAAAGGCCATTTCCTGGCTCATTATGCCGCGAAGTTCCATTTCAAAAACGCCTCTGCGGCTCGCGAATTCCGGTGCGCTTTCCGCTGTGTCGCTGCGGTGTACGTACACCTCAGCAGCTTGAGGTGTATGCGCATACACCGCAGACGTCGCCGCTCGAAAAAAGCGGAAAACGCGCGAAATGGAAAACTGCGATGGATTTTGTCTGTTTTTCTTCTATTTGCTGCTTATTTTTGATTTTTCGGGCCTATTTAATGCCGCTTTCCACTTTTTTCGCGCAGTCGGCCTCATCGACGCGGGCTACAGAGGCGAGCTGATGGCTGCAGTGGACAACATCAAGACGGAGCCCTTCACCGTCAAAAGAGGCGACAGATTATTTCAAGCTGTTGCCTTCAATGGGGAGGGATTTAATTTGCAGGTAAAGGCCAAAAGCGTGCACAGAACCTCTTTGGAATTTAAGTTTCAAGATCCAAAAAGACCCAAATTGCATGCGTTTTCGCGTTTAAATACGCAAGAATTCAAACTCTATTTATATTTAATTAAAATGCTCGAAAAATATTAACGTTTAGTGCCCTTTTTGCATTTATGTTTCGCAAAAGTGCATGCACAGACACCCCGTGAACTGCGATTTGGGGTGTACGTACAGCTCGTTGACGCGCTCGACGAAACCTCGCGAGGCGCCGGCGGCTACGGCTCTACGGGGCAGTCGAAAGAAGAAAGAAAAAAAGAAAGGAATAATGAAAAAGAAAGAAATAATGAAAAAGAATCCGAAAATAAAAAACAAAACTGCAGCGCAGAGTCCACCTAAACCGCATGCAGCCCGCTGCTGCTGCTGCTGCCCCTTCTGCTGCAGCTCCTGCTGCAGCCCGCCGCTGCAGCAGACCCTGCTGCCCAGCTACTCCCGCCGCTGCTGCTGCCAGCTGCTGCAGCAGCCCTTCCTGCTGCTGCTGCTGCTGGCGCTGGTGGGGGCCCCCTTTCGCCAGCAGCAGATCTGCTGGGGGCCCCCACTGTCGCTGTGTCCGGGGGCCCAAAGGGGCCCCCAGGTGACCCTCAGGGGCCCCCTTGGGGTCCCCCCGGGGGGCCCCCTTGGGGGACCCCCTTTTCTTTTAGTGGAGATTCTAGACTATATAAAAAGAGCAGAGAGCAAGCAAATTGTTCTTTAGAGCTTCTATTTGTAGAGCAGCAGCAGCAGCAGCAGAGAGACAAAAAAGAACTTAACTAATTACTCAGCAAATCGGGCTCGCAGCGGGGGCCCTTAGCTTCCATTCTGTTAGGAGGGATAATACCAAAAGAGGGGGGCCCCCCAATGGGGGGGCCCCCAAAGAGGGGGGCCCCCAGCAGGGCCCCCAGCAGTACCCTTTGGGGCCCCCCGCCTCCCTTGCTGCTGCATGCATGCGTTCTATGCAGCAAATTAAAAGGGGCAAAGAGGGCCCCAAAGCAGCAGCTGTTAGTGGGGGGGAGGGCCCCACAGCCAGGGGGGCCCC